ATGGAATAATAGTTTAAAGAACCAGAACTCGCAGAAGAAATACTAAACAGGATTTAAGCGGAGTATTTCATAAATGAGAAATCATTGAAAATGGATAGTGCTCCAAGGCCCAATATAAACACTCCTATAAATGATGCTCAATTACATTATTACAATCTCACCCTGATTAAAAGACCTGAATGGGAAAATCAGTTGAATCTCCTCAGAGAGAAAAATTCTAGTGGACAGCGCAAAAATAATATGATCTCTCCTCTACGCTGATTACAAGTAAGAACGGAAATATGATATCGTCTCAGTGATATACTCTCCTTGAATGGCTACGTTCTTCAATCTAGTTGTATTCCTAAGGTCGTCACTTACCACGGTCAAGAGAATTCTTATAAATATATCTACTAGGCACCTCCAAATCTTTGAGGTAAATTTAATATCCTATATGCACAAACATTATATCCTTGAAGAGATCTATAGATTTCTGTTAAAACTGACATATTTATTGTTTATTTATGTAATGTGATGTAGATATATATTAGGGATAAGGATAAATAAGGCACCTACTGTTGACCTACCTTAATCGTCTCTCTAATAGGCAATATTTTTAGTTTCATCGATGGGTTCCGAGTAGAGATAAATATCGGTAGTTCCTCTTCTCTACGGCTGAGGACCATATATAATATTGCCAGTTAACGCAAGGTATTTGGTGGTGTTGCCACAAGTTACTGAAATGGTATGAATTAAAGTAATAAATTCTATTTCTTTGATCTTGGGTTTATCTGGTAGGAGACGTTAAACTCAATTCAAAATGTACGACAACACCAAGTGCTTAATTTCCATTCTAAAAATGATCTAATTCAACCACTCTCGAACCAGAATTTGATAGACATTTAGAAACCATTTTATAAGATCGTGTTGGCTAACCTAAGAGGAATATATAGAATTGCATTAAGTCACTAGCTACAAGATATTTACTGCAATTGGGCCCATCTATACGGGATCTCATCTCACAAAAAACCAGCTAAGGTCCTACGTACAGTGCTTTAGCACTTTTGATGGACTGGGCCGACATGAGAAAGCTTAGAAAAGTTGTCATAGACATTAAATGCATAATTCAAAAAGAAAAAATAAAATCAAAAAACAACAAAAAAAAGATTTTTAAGGATGAATAATATCCTAATCATCACACCACTCACACCAACAAATTCGCATCTTACATTTTCTATTGATACTGTATGAGTATAGTAACCTTAAATCATATCACTGAGGTTCGGAAATTTCACCTCTGTCAGTTGTGTAGTTGTAAAGATCAACAATTGTCATGTATGAATCCAGATTGTGGCTATCAGTTGAAATTTGTTGGTGGTACGAGTATATGAAACATTCGTTGGACGGTATATTTCAACCATCCAACTTGAATTCTGTTGATAATATCCCCATCAATTTCACCATCACTTTGAACAATAGATCCAAGATATCTAAAACATGTACTTTTATTAATGACTTGATCGCCCAAAGTCACAATCCCCTCACTAGGTCTATTACTACTAAAATTACACTCCATATATTCCGTTTTAGATCTACTCAAGCGAAAACCTTTAGTCTCTAATGTTGACCTCCATAATTCAAGTTTACATTCAACTCCCTCTCTAGTCTTATCAACAAGAAGAATATCATCAGCAAAAAGCATACACCAAGGTACATCATCTTGCAAATGTATAGTGAGAACATCCATGACTAAAGCAAAAAGATATGGGCGTAAGGCTGATCCTTGATGTAACCCAAACGAAATAGGGAATTACTTGGTCAATCCACCTTGTGTTAGAACACAAGTAATAGCTCCTGCATACATATCTTTAATGATTTGAATATAAGCATTATTAACTCCTTCCTTTTCAAGAACTCTCCATAGCACTT